AGACCATGCAGACGCTACGACAGCGGATGAATAGACACCACACAGTACTGTTCCCTCCCATTCGGGGAGCACTTCAGCGGTGAAGGGCATTCAGCCTCCGATCTTTGGGTATGCGTCCTTCAAGGTGACAATGCAGAATCACTGAACAGAGACTGGTAGCCAAGTTCCGCATCCGTGAAGACGGCCTCAACTGTGATTTTGGGTTCATGTCGCGCTACGTGTGACTCCGCCACACTGTTCTGTATCTGTAAAACCTTCCTTAATGTCCTGTTTTGACAGCATCACTTTGATAAATTGTTATGATCTCTCCATCTTAATTCGTTTGTACAGTTTTGCATTACTTATTGCTTTAGTTAAACCCTCGCCATGCACCTCTTATACCTATCATGTTATTCTAATCAACTGGTTTGTCTCCAGCACCAGTGCTTTGTAATTATCTCTCTACCTCGCCTAATCGGATTATAGGTCATCCCATCGCTGGTTATTCAGCTGTTGACACTTTACTCACCATCTAACACTCTTGGTCACCTGTAGAGACTTATTATCTGACACTCCACTCACACCAGTTGTGTGATCTTTTGATCTCTCTGCCCTTAATTTCTCTGCCTATTAATTCGACAAAGGACCTGTGCTCCACAAGCTTGTCATTTCAAATAAACCTGTTGGACTGCAACTTGGTGTCGTGTGACTTCTGACTTTGTCCACCTCAGTCCAACACCGGCACCTCCACATCAAGGGCAAGTTTACAAATAGGGTTGTGTGCCCATCATCAACCTCCATTGCTTCCTGGCCATTTTGTTTTTGCAGTTATTGTTGCCATTGGTTGGAGTCCTCCTCTTTGTAATCGTGTTTAAATGTTACTTAATTACTTCTGAAGAATCATTTTTTTCTCGGTGTTTTCCTGGTTTCTGACTCTCGCCTTTCTATTAATCATTCAGACTTACAAATCCCTGAGGGATACTTTATTTTTTTTGGGTAATGAATTTGCTGAAGGTGACTCTTCCTATTGATTATCTATTATGATCATCTAGTCAGCTGCATTACCCTTTTTACAGGTACCTCTGCCTGATTTATACCCCGCATTACCATGACTGTTTGCTGACCAAGAAACAACTCATTCAAACGTTTACTGGCCCTTGCTGTTTTGTAGGTCCAGGCAAACCGGTTCTGCATCTTGTAGTTCTGATCTACGATTCTCTTTCACTAATGTACTGATCTCATGCCTTATTAACATCACTGCTACTCTTCTTTTTCCATTTTGATGTCCTTTCTCAGTGTCAACTATTCCTAATTAGGCAGATCCCAGTGTTGGTCGCCCTTCAGAAATATCTGTATAAGGGCAACTAGATCATAGCCATTTATTTCTATTTATGCCATCAGTTCATCTACCTTGTTGTGAATGGTCCTTGAATTCAGAGTAGCTTTAATTCTGCCTTTTGAACACTTTTCAATCTCTCCTAGCTCTCTCAAACCCTGCTTCCTGACCCTTGTGTCTCTAACTATGTCATTGGCTTAGTGTATACCCTGATCTCTGGCTGTTCACCATTCCAGCGAAATAATGTATAATAGGGAAATCTCACATGCTGTTCACGGAAACTCAGAAGAACTTTAAGGTATTGATTTTGGGGAAATGAAGGAAACGAAGTGGGACATTGTTAATCCCAAATCTAGTTATGGGAAGATTCCTTTTACCATTTAGCTGTGATCAGACTTATGAATAGACCTCTCAATATTAGTGTTGATCAAGGTGCAGCTTAAATTTGGATGTATATCAGATAGAAAACTGTAAATAGTATTTGAAAGTATTCATACTTTCTAAATTTTAATGTTGAAATTAATTGAAAATCCAACATTTGAATGTTTAGAAAATCAGATTGAACAAATGATCAAATGTGGGATGGTTACTTTTGAAGCCTAGAAACATTGATTCTATTGTGTTAAAAATTATGAATAATGCTTTCATATGTCATTTACAGTTTGCTTTTATTCACATTTATGAAAGTTCAAAAGTTACACAAGGGTGTTATAAACAGCCTGTTTGGACTTGAGTTTGAGAGAAATTTTTCCAGTCTTTCTTTAGAATCACTGTTTTTGTTAAACTTTTAAATTTCAGGATTGTTTGCCTCTATAAAGTCTGCTAATTCAATCACAAGAAATTTGATTTGATTTATTATTCTTTATATGTACTGAGATACAGTGAAAAGTATTGCATTTCATGCTAACCAGACAAGTCATAACTTAAATAAGTACATCAGGGCAATAGAACAGAATGCAGAATATAGTGTTACAGCTACAGAGAAGGATAAACTCTAATATATGAGAGGTCCATTCATAAGTCTGATAACAGTGGAGAAGAAGTTAGACCATAAGACACAGGAGCAGAAATTGGGCCCTTCGGCCCATCGAGTCTGCTCCGCCATTCAATCATAGCTGATAAGTTCTTCAACCCCATTCTCCTGCTTTCTCCCCGTAACTCTTGATCCCCTTGATAATCAAGAACCTATCTATCTCAGTATTAAATGTACTCAATGACCTGACCTCCACAGCCTTCTGTGGCGGTGAATTCCATAGATTCACCACTCTCTGGCTGAAGAAGTTTCTCCTTTCTGTTCTAAAAGATTTTCCCTTTACTCTAAGGCTGTGCCCTCGCATTCTAGACTCTCCTACCAATGGAAGCATCTTCCCAACTTGCGTTTTGTCCAGGCCATTCAGTATCCTGAAAGTTTCAATTAAATCCCCCCTCATCCTTCTAAACTCCAATGAATCATCAAACGTTCCTCATATGTTGAGCTTTCCATTCCTGCGACCATTCTCATGAACCTCCTCTGAACCTGCTCCAGGGCCAGTACATCCTTCCTGAGATATGGGGCCCAAAACTGCATGCAATACTCCAAATGTAGCCTGACTAGAGCCTTATTAAAGCCTCCGTAGTACACCCCTGCTTTTATATTCAAAGTTGTTCCTCAATCTGTTGGCGCGTTTTCGAACTTTTGTATCTTCTGCCCAATGTCAGAGGGTGGAAGAGAGTATAACTGGGGTGGGGACGGTTCCTTGATTATGTTGGCTGATTTCCCGAGGTAGCGGGAAATGTAGACAGAGTCAAAGGAAGGAAGGCTGGTTTTCAGTTCTGAGGAAGTGTCACAGGACCCAAAACGTTAACTCTGATTTCTGTCCACAGCCAGAACTGTTGAGCTTTTCCAGCAAATTCTGTTTTTGTTTGTGATTTCCAGCATCTGCAGTTATTTTGCCTTTTATTTAGGCTGGTTTTCATGATGGGCTGGGCTGTGTTCACAACTCTCTGTAATTTCTTGCAGTGTTGGGCAGAGCAGTTGCCGTACCAAACTGTGATGCATCCGGAAAGGATGCTTTCTGTGGTATATCTATAAAAAAATTGGTAAGAATTAATGTGGACATGCTGGATTTCCTTAGCCTTCTGAGGAAGTAGAGGCTTTGGTGTGCTTTCTTGACCGTAGCACCAACATGAATGGACCAGGATGGATTGTTGGTGATACTTACTCCTAGGAACTTGAAGCTCTTGACCACCTCCACTTCACCATTGATGCAGACAGGGGCATATCCTCCACTCCACTTCGGAAATGCATGCAGTGTGAAGAATGAGATATTGCCACGACAGGATTCTTACATGCTGCACTTGTAATATAAAGCCCTCTGGTAGAGGTTAATACTGATCAACTCCCCACCCCCTTCACTTGCTGATGTTTCTTCTCCAATCTGTTGACTTCCTTAGGTTTCCTTAACTACTTCATGCCAGTGTCATTCTTCAGTGAGTTAGGACATGAAGCAACTCAATACGTTTTTTATCAAGCTATTCGATACTGAAGATATTGCACCTGGACTAACTTTGCCATTGTTCACTCATCTGAGCAGGGGCTCCTAGATTGTGGAATTGGATGCTGTGGTTGATTTTTATCTTCTGACAGCTTAACATATCAAGGTCAATTGTAAATCTTGAATTCCTCACTCGGACTCTTTGGCTATGATAACCTACCTCAGCGCAGACTAGTGATTAGACTTGATAATTTCCTAGATAGCTTGGTTTAAAGACATTCTTTTAGATATTTTCTCATCAACCTGTGCAGCAATGTTATCACATGCCACCGGAACAGGTGGGACTTGCACCCAGACCTCCTGAGCTAGTGGTAGGGATTCTACCACTGCACCACAAAAGCCACAAGACCTTGTTATAGAAGTAAATGTACAAGCATACTTCTCCTGGGACATTTTAATTTACAGAAGGAAGATCATCTCTCTGCTCTACATGTACTGAAATACATATAATTTAACAATTTTATTGCAAAATGGTAGACAGGTAACTTAGACCATAAGATCATAAGATACAGGAGCAGAATTAGGCTATTCAGTCCATCAAGTCTGCTCTGCCATTCGATCGTGGCTGATATGATTGTCAACCCCATTCTCCTGCCTTCTCCCTGACCAATGAAGAACCTATCTGTCTCTGTCGTAAATTTACTTAATGTCTTGTCCTCTACAGCCCTCTAAAGCAATGAGTTGTACAGATTCACCACCCTCTGGCTAAAGAAATTTCTCTTCATCTCAGTTCCATAGCGTCGTCCCTTCAATCTGAAGCTCTGCCTTCAGGTCCTAATCTCCCCTACTATTGGAAACATCTTCTCCACGTCCACTGTATCCAGGCCTCTTAGTATTTTGTAAATTTGAATCAGGTCCTCCATCATCCTTCTAAATTCCAAGTACAGACCCAGAATCCTCAGCCGCACCTCCTCCAAGTCTAACACATCCTTCTTTAGATACCGGGCCCGAAACTGCTCATAATATTTCAAATATGGCCTGACCAGAGCCTTCTACAGCTTCAGCAGTACATCGCTGTTCTTGTATTCTTGCCCTCTTGACATTAATTCACATCTCTTGTTACTACACGTTTATACTATAAACAATTTATGATTTGAATAGGTCAAGTTGATTCTGCTTCTGGTTCAATTAATTCTTTTTTTTTTTTACAGAAGCGGGAGGGCATACTGCAAACATCGCATGTTACAGAGGAGTTTACCAGCACAACAGAGCAAGTTGAACTTTACCATGTGTCTCAAATATAAATTTAGTTCAAGAGAGTAGTTAGGAATGAAAACTGTATTAAAGTACACCATTTTTTTTCAGGAGTTGAATTAGTTTATCATCTCAAAACAGGTGAAATTAAATTTTTGCGGGAATAAAGGCATATGGTCACTTCCACAGAAAAGACCATATTTCCTGTAGGGCAACATGTTATCTTTTTAGTAGTAGACTGGAGGTAGCCAATTCTTAGTGAGCAACTTGGTGATACGTTCATTGGTAACAACTACTTTGATCCCCTTTGAGAAACAGATGACATAAATTGTACATCTTGGGCGAAAATTGCTAAACAGATTTATTAAGAAATAACATTGGAAGCAAAAGTCAAACAGCAAACATACAAGTCAAAATGAGTCATTAATTTCTAAAATTTGGTTATAAAATAGCTAGGAATTCTGGTTGTTTTCTGTGGAACTCTTACTTTTGAATCAATTCTTGTTTTGCAAAGTTTTAAAGGATTAAATTTCTGTGAAATTCTTAATTGACCTCTGATTTTAATGACACTAAGCGAATTGACGAACTGAGGAGATGCTCTTGTGTTTACTGAATTACCAGCCAGACCATGAAAGGTTTGTCAAATCAATACCAGCATTGAATACCCAAGTTCAAAATCTTTGCTACATCAGACTCTCAACCCTGATTTTTCATTGTTCCCCGCCTATTAACAATGTCTCCTTCCAGTAACTTGTTCAATTTCCAAACAGTCATAATTGGGTAGAGAGCACATTACCTATCATTAATGAGCAGATTAATGGTCACATTGAACAGCCTAGCCTGTTTTGCCTCAGGCAGCCTTGTGCTGAGATCTTGTATAAACTGTAAATCAAGAGTTCTTACCTTTCCTTTTCCTGTATCATTTTTTAGGGCCATATTTTTTCTCCATTTGTATATCAACAATCCTTCATGTCAGGGAGAGTTCTTAATTGTGGATGGCTGGATGGAACTGAGGTGTCAAGTGTTGAGTCTGATTTGTGAGCCTTATTTTAGTCCCTTCCACAGAATGAATATCTGTTATTAACTGATAGAGATGGTCGCAGATTGTTAGCTCCATAAGCTGTTCCTTCTTTTTACCATTCTCTCCCAGTGACCACTCTTGTTGGTTAGAAGGTCTTGGCATTATCTTTGATGCACTGTGGCTTTGGTCATAATTGGGCATCTGCTTCCCACCTATTGAGATTAATAAAGTGGATCTGCATAGAGGCTTTAAGAATGCTTTTGAATCATTTCATTCAGTTCCTGTGTGAATGGGCTCCCTTTTGTTTGAGGACAATATTTTACCCCTGCTGCTGCATTCCCCAATCTAGGCATGGGTGCACACCTCCACCTAACATACCACAGACACACCCACTCGCTCTGATTGAGGCGCATACGTGCACTTTCCTCGACTGTCACTGTTCAGAACGATTCATTGTGAAGATAGCTTTCTAAACCAGCAAATTCCATTAGGTGCCCTGATTTCGTGAAGATGTCTTGTTTTACAGCAATGCCGCCTCCCCCCACAACCACCCTGAGATATCTGGTCTGAGAATGGCACATATTGCTGAAGTGACTGCATTCATTTTAACAAGGACTGTCATGTTGAACCAGCCTGGCAGGCAATCTAGAACTGCCCGACACCAGAAACATACACTATTCCTTCTGAATAGACTTGCAACGTCGGGTGAAGTGTCAAATTGCACTGACACAAGTTTGTGGACGATTGCAGGTCGATAACTTACTACAGTGTATTCCCAGGTTAGGTACATTTTGTTCAATGTGAAGTAAAGCTCTATGTACCTTCATTTTAAATAGAATTCTATATCTGCCTCACTGTAACATTTCCAGTTTTCTCACCAGCAATGTGTGGTTTCTTTCAATGTGACTGCCATCTAATTTTCAAATATTTTCAGTCTTGTACTGCAGGCCTGTGAAAATGAGAAATTGAAGAAATTGCACTCAGCTGTTGAAGCTGGAAAATATGTCATGATTCTGGGCTAGGTTCTGTTGTGGGATCTGGAAGTGATAGGGACAGCTGTATTATGGGAATGATAGGTGCCCAACATTGCCTTTTCATATTTAGGTGTGCTAAAATAAGAATCTGCTCTTTCTCCATATTGCTTTCACAGAAAAGCTTCTTCAGTACCCTGACTAACATTGCCCCTTTACCTGTGACGTGATGTGGAAACATAGGAATAAAAAAGCAGAGTTATTTGTTAAGAAGTACGCTTCTGATAATATATGTAATCCATTCTCAGGGTAAGAATGGCTATAAGTATAGCTGTAGTCTGGTGATTAGGTTAATTGATCTAATTCATATGCCTTTATTATATTACAAGTAAACGTGCTACTTTATTTGTCATTTATTTTGTAAATATTAGCCTTTACCAATTGCGCATTACTAAAATTACGCATATCAGCTCTGTATTATTCAAGAATCTTTAAAAGTTGGCCAGAAGTCTGTTATGAATGAGACATGACCTAACTATTTGTTTGATTCTAATTATTAACTGTTTGTCTATTAACTCTGTATTTCAGGATGATGATGGGGAGATTTGGTAAGTAAAGAACTGAATGAATTCAATCTTTATTGTATGAAAAAATGCCCAACAGTTTTGTTTTATTCTCCTAATCTTTTAGTTCATGGTGACATTGTATCCCTATTATGATCGCATTCCTTTCTTATGTCAGGATTTAAAACAAGGTATTCACTAATGTTGAAATCCAAAAAACTACATGAGGAATCTTAATTTTGTTGTTAGATCGTATATCTTTTTCTGGAGGGGGTGGGATAAAGGAATGCATTTCTTTCTATAGATATAAGCTTGCCTAATGATATATCATACATAGATACTACCAAAGCTTAACAACAATTTTAATCATGTATGGATTTTTTTTTGTACAAAGTACCACAAGCTGAATGCAAGCCAGACATGAAGTCATAGAATCATTCAGCACGGAAACAGATTCTTTGGTCCAACCAGTCCATACTGAACATAATCCCAAACTAAACCAGTCCTGCCTGCCTGCTGCAAGCCAGTATCCCTCCAAACCTTTTCCATTCACATATCCATCCAAATGTCTTTTAAATGTAATTGCACCCACATCCACCACTTCATCAGGAAGTTCATTCCACACATGAACCACCCTCTTTGTAAAAAAAATTTGACTCGTCTTTTTTTTAAGTCTCTCTCCTCTTACTTTAAAAATGTGCCTCCCTAGTTTTGAAATTCCCTAGTTTTGAAATTCCCCATCTTAGAGAAAAGACAACTACCATCAACTCTCCATACCTCTCATTATTTTATAAACTTCTATCAGATCACCTGTCAACCTCCTACACTCCAGTGAGAAAAGTCCCAACCTATCCGGCCAATCCTTATAAATCAAGCCTTCCGTACCCGGCAACATCTGTGTAAATCTCTCTGAACCCTCTCCAGCTTGCTAATAACCTTCCAATAACAGCACAACCAGAACTAGACGCAGTATTCCCAGAAGACTCCTCACCAATTTTCTGTACAACCTCAACATAACGCCCCAACTTCTATACTCAAAGTACTGACCAATGAAGGCGAGCATGCCAAACACCTTTTTAAACCATCCTGTCTATATATGTGATGCTAACTTTAAAGAATTATGTATCTGTTTCGGTCCCTCTGTTCTACAACGCTACCCAAGGCCCTACCCTTAACTGTATAAGCCCTGCCCTTGTTTGTTATACCAAACTGCAATATCTCTCATTTATCTAGATTGAACGCCATCTGACATTTTTCAGCCCATTGACCTATGTAATTCAAGTTTAGCTGCCAGGCCAGTTTTAAAAAAAAAAAAAAAAAACGCTACTAATAATAAAGTGGGGAAATATAGCACTTGTTTGGTTCAAGTGGCCCTAACTTTATTCCTGTTCTGTGCTGAATTATTTAACCTCATTTGTGATCATCAATTGTGTGATTATTGCAGTTGTACTCAGCAACACTCATTCCTGATTGCCATTTAGTGATGCCTGCTGGAAAGTGTATGAAAGTGTGTTCTGGGTGCTGATCTAAGTATTGCAATTGCAAAGCTTTCCTCACTGTTTATGATTGCGACCTGGCTTGGCATTTGGTGAGATATTAGGCTGACCTTAATTTGAAAGCAAGCAACGTGAGGTCATTTGGCTGAGAATGTGATCGAGGTGTGATGTGATGTCACATGGCTGAAATTTCTGTTGGGAATGAGTAAAATTTTGATGCACTGCATGAGATGGTCATGTTTCCTGTATCAGAGGACAATTATACAACCTGATGCAATCTTGCACCAATATGCACATGGTTGAATTCTCACCAGTTGTTTTTGTTTCCTTTGCATTTTGTGTCTAGCCTCTGCTCTGGAAGCTGTCCTGATGGGACAGTTTTTAGATAGGAACTTTCTCTGTCATACAATAATGGGCCAGTCATTTCAACCTTTTGCGTTTCAAAAGCTCTATTTCACAACTTTATCTCTCTCTTAGAGACCTAGAGGTCTACATTATGGAAACAGGCCCTTCAGCCCAACTTGCGCATGCTGCCCAGTTTCCATAATCAAACTAGTCCCATTTGCCTGCATTTGGTCCATATCCCTCCATACCTATCCCATCCACGTACTTGTCTAAATGTTTCTTTAAGGATAAAATTGTACTCGCTTCCCTCACGACCTTTGGCAGCCTGTTCCAGATACTCATCACCTTCTAACCCCTTTTATATCTCTCCCCTCTCACCGTAAACCTATGCCATCTTGTTTTGGACACTCCTACCATGGGGAAAAGCTGTTGGCTATCTACCTTATCTATGCGTCTCATTTTATAGACCTTTTATAAGGCCACCCCTCAGTGTCCTGTGCTCCAGGGAAAAAAAAATCCCAGCCTATCCAACCTCTCCTTATAACTCAAACCTTCCAAACCAGGTCGCATCCTAGTAAATCTTTTCTGCATGGAGGTAACTTTGCACCTTGGAACCATACGGGTAAAGTAATCCCAAGTTTGATTTATCAATTTTTGAAAAAGGAATTACATTTATCCAAACTAATAAGAATTGACTTGATTTCCCTGGGTTGGAAAGGGGCAAAGTTATAAATTTCAGCTCCTGATCGCTTGGTAGCAAGCCTTGTCAAAAGTGCTTGCAGTACCATTTGAGGAAAGATTTAAACTCTGCTTTTACCTCTCACTCTCAAGATTTCATTTGAATAATGAGATACCAAAGTGCCCGCCAGTGTTTCTGCCAAAGTGCATGCGTGTGCAATAGAGTAACAGCCTGAAAGGCACTGTGTAGGCCTCCCTTTCAAATTAAGTAACTCATGTATGGAGGTAAGCCAAAACAAATTAAGTGTCGTACCAAGTATTTCAGTTTTAACATCACTGCCCAATGCTGTATCATTACCGCAGAGGCAGAAAATAGTGAGGAAATGAGGACTGCAGTTTCTAAAAAAAAAAAAAAAAAAAAAAAATTTGATGTGCACTCTCATTTGTTATTTCAGAGCGGGATGCATTTGATACACTGTTTGACCATGCACCTGATAAGCTCAATGTTGTTAAGAAGGTAAGTTCCAAAATGAGTTGTAAAACACCTCAATTTCTGAAATGACATGAATTGCATAAACAGATTAAATAAGATATATGCCGATGTGAAATTTCTGTAGTTGTACAATGAGTCCATTTTATCTAAGATCAATCATTCTTCTTTCGGATAGTGAAGGACACCACACAGTCTATTATTCAGACCTGGTCCTAAATTTTCAATTGGAACTATCTACTATAATCCTATTAACTTGCATTTTTTGTGTATGACTTTACATTACTGCTTTCCACCTGCTTACTTTGAAACTGTGCTTGAGTCTATTATTTTGATAGGTATTTGGCAACGTCCCATTAGAGAAGAAAATGTTCTAAAATATTCTTTGTTCTTCTGGTAGTAATTTCCAGTCTGTGCAACCTTCTTACAATTCACAAAGTGGCAATGGCCTTTCATTATTTATCTATTCATAATTTTGATGTAATCACACGTAATCATTTTTATTGAACTCCGTTTTATAAGTTTAGAACTCAATCCTCAGTTGCTAACTTGCCACCATAACTACAGGGGTACCATACCAAAGTTGCAAAATCTGTATCAATTTTTGCTACAGCGTCTGAGGCTGAGGGGTGACATGATAGAAATATATAAAATGATGAGTGTTGTAGATATTGTGGATAGTCGGTGTCTTTTTTCTAGATTGGAAAAGTTAGAAAGAAGGGGGAAGGTTTAGAGGAGGTGTACAAGGAAATATTTCTATGCAGCGGGCTGTAAATGCCTGGAGCACTGTATTAAGGAGATAGTAGAAACAGATATGATAGCAACATTTAAGAGCCGTTTGTATAGATGCTTAAACTGACAGGAAATAGAGGGATACAGACCACATGCAGGTAGATGGGATTAGTTTGGAATGGAATTGTCGTGATTGCGCATATGTACATGCTGTAGTTATTGTTTAAGAGCAGATACTAACTGGGAAAAGATGAGTGTGCATAAAGGCATCTTATGGTGCAGTGTAAATGTCTCTACCTCTGGGTCAGGAGGTCAGTGTTCGAATTAATCTGCCACAGAGCTGAGTCGTAACATATCTCAATGGGTTGCTTAAAAATGATTTAAAAGAAGCAGTTTCTATCAGGGAGGAGCTCATCTGTGGGGTGGAATAGTCGCCTGCTCTCATGATGTATGATGTGGAAGACACACCAGCTCCTTACTCTTCCTTTGCCAGAACCATGTTTACTACATTAATGTACCTTACCTTGCCAAAGTAGCTTGAATGGGGTTATCTGAATAGAGAAAGATATAATACTTACTGTGATTAAATAGCTTTTAAATATTGGCGGCAACAGAAGCAGGTGTTTATAGAGCTGTCCTGTACTTCAAAGAAATCCTCTCCATTGACTATGTGGATATCTCTTCTGCCAATTTCAATTTACCACAACAGCCTAAAATTAAATTTGATTTTGCATTGTATTGAAACTAACCCATAAAAGAACAATATTATTTATTGAATAAAATGTAAGGATGTCGTTATGAAGGCCTAAATTGTCATGTGATCTTGATTGGGAACCTTGGTGTGACAAGAAACCTTTTTGAAAATTTATTGAAAAACAAGGGCACCAAAGTCTAATTTAATCATCTTTGGCAGAAGCACACTGCAAAATCATTGATAAATATAACTTCAGCTATTCTTTTTTTTTGTCCCTCCATCCGTTCTTCCATCCGTCTGGGTATACTCGAGAACTGAGAGCTACACTCCTCCAGTTCTAGTTGATATTCGCTAATCCAGTGCAAACATGGGATGAAACTTGAAATCTGTCTGGTCTTTGTTATTTAGTTTTTTTTTGCCTTTTAGGTTGAGTTTTATCACTCCAGTTATGAAAGGGAGAGGTCTAATTGGTTTATTAGAGCCAACACATTGCAAAGACTTACTTGCACCTTAGTGAGCAAACCAGCTTTGTGTCTACTTAGGAAGCTGAACAGAAATGTGCTTATGTTTGTTTATAGATAGAAGCCTGTTTCGAGATTAAGTAGTTCTTTTCCTGTGGAGGTTGAAAGTGGGATTTGGGGGAGGGGAAAGAAGGGAAGAAGCATGGTGTTGATGTTCAGCATCCTTACTTAGGTTAATGCAAACTTTAAGTGGTGCTTAATTCATATATATACTAAAGTGTAAAATCTAATCCAGTTGTTTTGTGAAAAAAGAATTTATACCATTTCCATTTTACTCCCAGCTTGAACAAGTTATAAACAAAATTCATGTGCCTTTTGTTTAAGTTGTCATGTATTTAAGTCATAGTTTGCTTCCAGTTGCAACCATTTACTAGCTCACATTGCTAGCCTTGTTTGATTTGAAAATAGAGCTTTGATGTTTTTATTGTTTTGTTTCCCCAGTCACTTATCACATTTGTAAATAAACATCTAAACAAACTTAACTTGGAGGTGACAGAACTGGAGACACAGGTATAAACTTTTTGGAAATATTCTCATTTCTTTTGACGGCAATGCAGATCTCAACTGATTACTAGAAAGAGCATTCAGGACACTTCCATCATGCTAATTATTTGTAATTCTTTCATTACTCATAGAAACAAGTCAGTTCATAAGATGCCCCATCTACCAGAGCTTTCAACTTGTGACCATCGTTTGAAAAAAAACTTTTAAAGCAACTCTTTAAAAGAAAATTCCCAATTTGTAACTCATTTCCTAGAATTTGGTGGTGATATCATTGTTAATGGATGAGCAATGGTGATCATAGCAACAGTCCATTTCACTTTGAATTATGAAGAGAAATCCAAAAGTGAGTTTGGATACTTTTAACTGATGTGGTTTACAAGAGGAATGCACTCGTCACCAAACCCCATCACTCCATGAGTTGCGCCATTTACTATGTAAATATTATAAATATTTTGATTCAGTCAGCAATATGACCAACTGTTTCCTTTTAGTACTACTCTCCAGAATAAAGGAGCCTTTTTACAGCCTTCATGAATGTAATTAGAAATACCACATTTATTATAAAACAAAACTAATTTCAAAAAAAAAGTGGCGAAACTGATTAACATTCAAGATATAATCTGGAATTGGACCTATAGTCTTTCTAATCCCGAGATAAGTACTCTCACAACACAAAAGGTAGCATTGACTGTGCAGAGATGATGTTTTGAGGTGGGTAAAAGAAAACCATCCTTATTGGCCGATGGTCCAAAAAACAAAAGATAGAATATAGCAAATTCTCAGTCCACCAGGTTGACAAAATCAAAGTGCTGACCACCATAAACCGGTTAAAGATATTCTAAATAAGTTTTGATTCAGATGGAAATCAAGTTGGTTCCATGTCTTTTGAAAGTGGTCACAGTGCAGCTTCTCGGGGATTCACAAGATAGTTAAATGCTAAACTGTAAAAACTATACCAGATTCCCAATTACTTTACGCAAGAGAGGAAATGAGAAGATTTGGGGGTGGTTTCTTCATAACTGTCTCTAGGTTTGTGTGAAAACAGAAACCAACGTGTTGCTAGGCGATCATCAGCACAAAAGACCACAGTCAGGTTCTGCAGCAATTGAACTACAGAACTTGTTTAATTTCCCTGAAAACTGGGTTTTTTTTTTCCCCCCCAAAATCATTTGACTTTGTAATTAGCAAATGGATTGTTGCTCACATTACACTTTGACCTAATTTCTAATAACGTATGAGTTCCCTTTTCCTTTGGTAGCAACCTGCTTAATCTATAAGGTGTCCAAATGGTTCAATATCTTCCAATTTTGTTCTTTAATCTATAAAGGTAGTTATTTAGTCCCAGCAAGCGGCATCATCTTCCCAAAGGAAAAATGTGCTTGACAAACTTTAAAGTTTTGTTCATAAACTCAATAATGATAAGGATGACTTGTGACTCTTGTGAAACTTGACAGTTGTGTGTGTTAATAATGTGTCATGTTGTTTACTACAGGGACTACAGAAAGAGCAGAATCTAGTAAACACAGCATAACAATTAATACCTGAACTTTTATAAGTTGTTATTTCTCATTTCCAAATTCATAACCCCATTTTAAGTGAAATCAATTGTCACAGCCTCTTGCGTGCTTGCTGTACCTTGACACACAAGATACCAATTATGGCTTGTTGGCCTTATTCTGCTTACAGTCAGTCATAGAGTCGTACAGCACAGAAACAGATGTTTCGGTCCAATTCCTCTGCGCTGACCAGACATCCCAATCTGACCTAGTCTCATTCGCCAGCACTTGGCCCATATCCTGCTAAACCCGTCCTATTCCTATACCCATCCAGATGCCTTTTAAATGTTGTAATTGTACCTGCCTCCACTTCCTCTGGCAGCTCATTCCATACACCCTCTGCATGAAAAAGTTATCCCTCATGCCTTTTTTAAAATCTTTCCCCGCTCACCTTAAACCTAAGCCTTCTAGTTTTGGACTCCCTTACCCTTGGAAAAAGATGTTGACTACTTGCCCTATCCGTGCCCCTCATGATTTTGTAAACCTCTATAAGGTTACCCTTTGGTCTTCGATGCTCCAGGGAAAAAGCCCCAGCCTATTCAACCTCTCCCTCTAATTCAAACCATCCAATCTGGGCAACATTCTTGTAAATCTTTTCTGCACCCTTTCAAGTTTAACAACATCCTTTCTTCAGAAGAGTGACCAGAATTGTGAACAGTATTCTAAAGGTAGCCTTACCAATGTCCTGTACAGCCGCAACAAGAAGTCCCAACTCCTGTACACAAGGCCCTGATCAATGAAGGCAGGTGTGCAAAATGTCACTTCACCTCCCTGTCTACCTATGACTCCACTTTCAAGGACTGTGCACCTAAAGCCCTAGGTCTCTCTGCTCTACAACACTCCCCAGGGCCCAACCATTAAGTCAGGTCCCTGGTTTACATTGGCAAAATGCAACACCTCGCGTTTATCTAAATTAAACTCCATCTGTGACTCCTCGGCCCATTGGCCCATCTGTTCAAGATCCTGTTGTATTCTGAGATAATCTTGAGAATCCACTACACCACCTATTTTGCCATCTACAAACTTACTAACCATGCCTCCTATATTCACATCAAAATCTCTCTCTACTTCTCTTTACCTCTTTACTTTCCTCAATCTTCCTGCCCTTTAGCCAGGCCAGCACCTAAAAACTAGAAACAGCTTTCCTTCTCAAAAAAAAAAGTTTAATTTGGTTGGATATTGGGCTGAAAACTACTTTCAAATTAATAAAATAGGTATTTTAACCAAATGATATTCCATTAGGAAAATTTAATGCAAATATTAAAATATTTTGCATTTGATCTGAGTGTTAATTTAAATGAACTGAATTATCTAGTATTTTACACTTTCTGTATAAAATTATTTGTTCTCAAGATTTTTGATTGTTCTCCCTCATCCAACTTCAACAGATAGGGTAGACAAGAAAATACCCTATTTCCACTGAATGGGGATTCTAGAATTTACATTGCATACCTGAAAATTCGGGCCACACCATTCAGGAGAGATGTTAGGAAGCACTTCTACATGCAAAGGATGGTGGATGTTTGGAAATTTCTTCCACAAAAGGCAGTGGATGTTGGATCAGTTAATTTTAACTCTGAGGTATATAGGTTTTCATTAAGCAAAGGTATTAAGGGTTATGGGCCAAAAGCAGGTATATGGAGCTAGCCCACAGATCAGTCATGATCTCATTGAGTGCCAGATGGACACAAGGAATCAAATGGCCTACTCCTGGCATACGTTCCTATCTATCTTATGAGCTGTCAGCATCCTGTCCAACTATTAAGTAAATATAGAGTTGTGTATCTTCTGTTCTAAGTAGAAGTTTTTTTGCAGTGGAGGTTGCATTTTTTGTGAACACAAACTTCTTGACATTGATCTCCAATTGCCTTTCAGTAACTTGAACCTGTTTCTCATTCTCATCAATATTCAATTTGAAACAATGCTCACAATTTCCATTTCACTATGCAAGCTATTTTCCCTCTTTACACTTTTACATGAGATCACTTCTCAGTTGCTTTCTTTTCCTGCTGAAAAATCCAGATTTCTTCTTTGTCTCCTCATAGCTCCATGATCTGATGACTGGATTGCTTCTTTTAGTTCTTATCTGTGCTGTCTCCATGTAACTATTGCATCTGTATCTTGGTCCTCAACTGGACTCAATAGGCCTGATGTTGTTTGACCAGAAAGCTATGCACAAACTTTAAATTGCTTTGCACCTATTTGGAACCTGTAGTTTAAATGTATGTTGCCCCCAAGTTGAGCTATACTTTGCGTTTATATTGTTCAGCATTATGTTTGCTTTGTTGATTTGTATTCCAAGTTGTTCAGTTGTGTTTATTTTTAGAAGAAATGGGAGTATTTGTGAAGTGATTTGGATTAACTATTTGCTTTATGGAGAAGCATTGTCATTCTAATGTACCACACTGTCAGTTTGCAGATGGTGTGTACTTGGTGTTGCTTATGGGACTTCTTGAAGATTACTTTGTTCCTCTCTACAACTTCTATCTGACACCAGAAAGTTTTGAACAGAAGGTTAGTACTATGAGTGCAGTAGGCTTTTGTCATTATCCACTGTATTTGCAACTTCAGCACTTATTAATTTATCAAAATCATGAAATTAGCAGGTACGCTCCACTTATGATCCATTGTGTCAGCATGTTAATCCTTGTATGCTACGAAAATTGTGATATTCAAGCTGTGATGGCCTTTGACCTAGAAGCAGGAGCGAGGGCAGTCTGTAAATCCTTAAAAATATCTGGAGAATCTGTATTTGTTTTTATAAGTGGTTGAAAGGGAGTTTTGAGAATTTATAGCAATTGTGAAAGAATCTTTTGTTTTTGGTAATAAATGAGTCTATGTGACCTTGCAATCTTAAATTTGGAAGCAGTACCAACAGGAAGGAAATTCTGATGGGATGGGCTCCACCTGAATCATGCTGGGACCAGAGGGCGGGCAACTCACAAACTAGTGGTGGAAGCTGGCACAATTACAACATTTAAAAGCCATCTGGATAGGTATATGAATAGGAAGGATTTAGAGGGATATGGGCCAAATGCTGGCAAATGGGACTAGATTAATTTAGGTTATTTGGTCAGCATGGACGAGTTGGATCGAAGGGTCTCTTTCCATGCTGTACAGCTCTATGGCTGTATAACTAGGGCTATAAATAGGGCTTTAAGTGAAATTTATGGGTGGGTTTGGCCATTTGCATCAAAAATTAAAGTGGATTGCGAGTTCCAGAAACTTAAATAATTTCTTCTGAACAAGTAATAGGATAGAGAACATGGAAATGGTCAGGAATCTAACTTTAGGCACAGCAGATAAGGGGACAACTGAGAAGCAGGGCAGTCTACGCAGGGCTGAGGGTGTTGCACTAAAATGCACACAAGTATATGAAACAAGGTAAATAAGCGTGTAGCACATATTGAAATTGGCAGATACAATGTTGGTATCACAGAGACATGGCTGCAAGGGGATCAGCACTGGGAACTAAATATCCAAGGGCACACGTCTAATCAAGAGGACAGGCACATGGGCAGAAGAGGTGGAGTTGCCTTTCTGGTAAGAAATTAAATTAAATCGATAGCAAGAAATGATAGGCATAAAATCTGTATGTGTACAGTTGAACTGCGAAGGATAAAAGACCCTGATGGGAGTTGTGTACAGGCCTCCCAGTAGTAATCCGGATTGGGACAGAAAATGAATCAGGAAGGCATGTAAAAAAGTCACTATTACAGTAATCATGGGGGTCTTCAATATGCAGGTGGACTGGGAAAATCAGGTTGGTAGCAGATCCCAAGGAAGGGAATTTGTGGAATGCCTGTGAGATGGTAATTTTTGGAGCAGGTTGTGGTAGAGCCCACCAGGAAATGGACATCACCAAATCCAGAAGAGTCTAATGAGACAGACTTGATTAGGAAGCTAAAGGCAAAGGAACCCCTAGGGGGCAGTAACCATAATATGATAGCCTGCAGTCTGATAGGGAGAAGGTGGAAGTGTATTTGTGGGGTGAAAAAGTGAGGCTGACTACTAATAAGAGTATCGCATTTGGTGGAACCAGGAGACTGTAGCATGCTTTACCAAGCTTCACTTCACAGACTTTTGCAAATGTGGTGAAGACCCTAATCATCGACTATCTTATCTGAAATTGCTAACTGGTGATAAAAAGGAAATGATGATATCCGTGTTGGCTGGTGTGCACTACTAAGAACAAAGAAAATTACAGCACAGGAACAGGCCCTTCGGCCCTCCAAGCCTTTACCGACATAATAATAGAAGCTCGTAGAATGACTACAGACAGGAAACAGGCCATTCGGCCCAACAAGTCCACGTCAACCCTCCGAAGGGCGTCGCGTCCAAAGCATCCCCATCCCCCTACCCTTTCCATGGCTAAGGCACTTAACCTACACATCCTTGAACACTGTGCAATTTAGCATGGCCAAGTCATCTAGCCTGCACATCTTTGGCCTGTGGGAGGAAATCCGAGGACCCGGCAGAAACCCACGCAGACACCAGGAAAATGATCTAACTCCAAACAGACAGTCACTCAAGGGTGGGATTGAACCCGGGTGCCTGGCCCTGTGAGCTATCGTGCTGTCCTATTGTTACACACCTCCTCTGAGCAAAACTAGCAAAGGAGAACGTGCATTCCCTGACAGGGAATCGAACCCAGGCTGTGGCGATGATAGCACCGAACCCTAACCACTAGACTACCATAGAAGATGCCAAAAGGAAGGTGGGAACTCCTTCCGAGTTGGAATTGAGCCAGTGACTTAAGGATGACAGATTTGCAACACACTAAGTCCTCTGTTTTACCAGGTGAGCTATCGAAGGAGAGCAATGCAAAACAATAATCCACAATGTCACTTAGCACCTCCATGTGTGCCTTTAATGGCAGAACCTGCCTCTCAAGGAATGACCTTCACAGCCATCAGTAAAAGAACATCAAATCCCCACCTAAATGGACTTACTACAGCGTGTCCATCATCTTGTAGATGAAAGGATGATGATGCACACAGGGATCTCAACAGTGAGTGATGAGAATTATATGTTCAGGAATGGAAATATTTCCATCATGAAATTTATGCATTTCAATTTAAAATCATGTACCTGTTTATGTGTACTAAATTTAATGTTTATGCAGTGATTTCAGCTTTCTCCCTTTATGAAACTTGCTTTGTAAATGAAGTATTGAGATCTGAACAGATAGCAAAGTAAATTCCTTTTCTCTAGGTAATCCACAAATCCATTGTGGAGTCATGATGGTCCTGATTCAGGATATCACTACTTCACTGATAAGGAGCAAAGCAGATTTGAATCCGTATTACAGTTGTGCAAAGGAATCTTTTGAATCAATAAAAACACAGCTGGCGAGTGAAAAGATGATGAATTTGTTGTAGAGCAGGGTTGGTGAGTTGGGATAAAATTGATAAGCACAGTATTTATTTTATAACAATTTTTTTAAAAAGGCTAGTGTAATACAGTGAGTAAATTACAGACACAATTAATGTTATGTTTTTGGGTTTTTAAAATATTTCTTGACTCTAATGTTTTCAGTCCTTGTATCTTCGATTAATGTCTCTTGCATGAGTCCCAACTTACTCCCCCTCAGTGTATCTTCATTAGCTTTAAATCTTTATAAAATGTTTAATAATCTTCCCTGGATAACAATCAAATAATGGAAACCCTGGCCTGTCAGTTAAATATCCTGTGATTAATGCTTGTGTTAAAAAATCAGTTGGTCTTGAAGGTTGTAAAATATTTGGATTAAACACATTGCAGACACTTATGCCAGTCTTTAATGTGCAAGGCAAGTTTCTTTTGCAGATTTTGTTTAATTTCAAACCAGTCCTGAAAAACAATATAAAATGACTGTTGCAATGATTTAAACTGATTTGTGCAA